CCGCTGGGATTTGTGTTACTCCGCCAAAACACAATATTTTCGCGTGAAAATATCAGGAATACTACAACCCCATGACGAGATAGACAGGTATCAAAAATCCATAAATCATAGGTCCAACACCATATGAGTGCCCTCCATTGTGATATCTGTAACTCAGCCAAAAAACAGTATTTCCGCGTGAAACTTTTAGGATAGTCATCTCTTCCCACATGCAACATATACTCATGGCCAAAACCCAAATCTTCTTGAGGGGAAGATGGTCATGTACGATGGATATAGATACGAAACTTTCTGGAGAGGAAAGGGATAAGGATGTCGGTGACGAAACATGTTTTTCTTTAAAGCCTAATATATTCCCTTGTTTGGCCGCCTAGAGTATCTTTTCTTTGCCTATGGTGAAAAACATATTTCTCCGTATTGCTTCTGAATTGCCTTGAAAAACCAGTGACGAATAAAGAGTGGGTTGGCAGCACTGCGGTACTTTCTTATTATCGGTTTGGACCATTTTTGCCCCACAACCTGAGTGGTACGGATAGACTCTTCGTGTTCGATAAGTGAAGCCGGTCTCGTTTTTCTACGACGGTATCAATAGTAGTCTGGCCGATTAGAAAAACCGAAAAACCTTTGGATTAGAAGCTCCAGTTTTTTCTCATCGGTCACCGGCACCAGTTTCGATTATGAGTTAGGGTATCTTGTCATTAATAAACTGTTAATAACGTGTTAATATACTAGTTGAATAATGCATTATTCAACTAGAGTATTAACGCATTATTAATGGTTGGATTTGAAGACTTTTTACGCATTATTAACAGAAAAGTGACTAACGTTTTTTGTCGTTTTTAACAGTTAATTTTTCGGTCGTTAAGAAAAGTCACCTATTTTTAACTGTTAGTAACGCATGAAATGTCTTGAAATTTAACCGTTAATGACGCGTTAAAGATGCTGTGTTATTTAATAATGTCAAGGCGTGAATGCAACTCACTGGGTTGTAACCCCAGAATGTGTCGGAGTGTCAAAGTTTCAGAGCATGCACAATTCGGTTTGATCTCATGTCTCATGCCTAATAGTCAAAATTGAGAAATACTTTTTTCGAAAATCCTCGGTTTTTTTTAGAGGGTCTCCGAAAAACCTTGTATACCTAAATATATTATTTTGATGTTTTGAGGCTACCAGTAGAAAGAGCGTTCAAAACTGTGTATGTATCTAGTAAAATTTTAAGTATCATCGAACGATATTTTCAGGAGATATGCATATTGGATTTTTTAAACATTCCTTGGTTTACTTAATTCTTTCTTTAGCAAGTTTTATACGTTCACAATATGTTTGACATAACATATTTTCATGATCAGATGGTAACGATTTTAATCCAATATCCAGTGCTGTTTCAAAGTTTTGTAATGCTTTTTCGTAATCACCTTTACAAAGATAAACACCTCCTATGTTATTGTATGTTGCAGCAATTCTCAATGAGGGCAGAATTCTTTTTTGAATTTCAAATGTGCTTTGCAACTCATATAATGCATTAAAAATCTTCATTATCTCGAGATATTCCACTGATATCTGTATATAATGTTGCAGATAATAAACGACTGGGTAGCTAGAATTATTATTACAAATTTCAAAAGCTTTTCTAAAATATTTCAATGCTGTTTCATTATCATTATTTTCATGATACAATGAACCCATATTATGATATAAATTCGCTAACAGAAGATCATTTTCTGATACATTTTGCATTTTACAACTTTCATATGATTTTTTATAATATTTTAATGCCTTTTTATCACTACCCATATCACTATATAATATTCCCATATTATTTAATATTACTGAAACTCGACAATGATCTATTGGTAATTCATCGAGCATCATTTGATAATATTTTTCCGCTTTTTTATATTCTCCCATTTGTCGTAATAGTAAGCCTAATGTATCGGAATTCGATATACTTGTAGTTGAATTCGTTTCGAAATAACTGAATAACATGTCTATTTCATTACTCACCACTGATTCACTTAATATCAGCTTAACGTGCCAAACAGTAGCATTTTCAGCTAACTGTTCAACTTATTGAATCTTGAATATACTTCCCATCGATAATAGTATTTCTTCTTCTCCCGTGCCAAAATTACTCATATTTGTAATATCAGCGAATGGTTTAGTTTTGGCAGCAACATTATTATTAATCGTAATTTCAAATAATATGGATTCAAGCGATGGTCTATTAAAACCATCACCGGCGGATATTAAAGCTAGTTCCTTTTTTCGAGTTGCTGATAAAAATGAATTCATTGAAATAAGACCGTTTACATTATTTTTTGTTTTTTCCAATTCGTCACAATTGATGTGTTGTCAATGTTTCTTCTAAGGATGAAATATATTCTTTATATAACTGATTCAATAGTACAAAAAGATCTCTTATAAAAAATCGATATTTAAAAATAATGTCAATATTTTGGTTTAATTGCTTATGTAAAAAGGTATCACGTGTATACCACCAAACTGCAAAGTCTGGTTCGTAAGTTGTTCAAACTTGTCAATAATCTCTAACATAGGTTTATTTTCAGCAATAATGCAGTCGACAATCATTTAACATCATCATTTTTCCATGATCTGTTTGAGGTATTTGAATTAAAACGTCTATAAGCAATTGAGTTCACATAAACATAGAATATTCTTTGTTTAAAGCACGAATCGATTTTTCATTGACTATACATATTAGTGGCAAACTCTTTAAATAAGATATGATGTCTTGTTTTAGTTTTTCAATAAGTTGATTTTTATTTGAGAATATTCCATGAAATTTTGAAATATTTCTTAGCTCACATGTGTCACTCAGTTTATTATCCGAATATAGAACGTAAATAAATACGATCTGTTTGATTTCAAAAATCAGTGGAATAAATGTTTCGCAGATCGAACCAGAAACAATTAGAAAAACATATTCATTGGCCGTTATACCATGAATACACTCATTTGCATGATATATTTCTATATAATTATTACATTGCGTAGGCGATTTTTCGTGTCAAAATAATCATCTGTGTATTCATGAATACGATCAACATCAAGCCGTACAATAGTCAGACCTTCAAGATTTTTCGTTAATCAAGTCATTAATTCCCACAATGAATTTTGAGAATCTTCGTTAAGATAATGTATTTTTTACCTATTTTCTCGTGTCGAATATCAAATGTTAAAACAAATGACACGGCGTTTAATAAATGTTTTCGTCGTGATTATTTCATTCTGCACAGCGAAATTTCTGTTATCTATTTTTACTAATATTATCATCACACAGAATAAAAAAACATTTTACAACATGTGAGTTTGCATAGACTGTACTCGAGCTACTTATGGTTATTTTATTCATCAGAGTATGATCATAAGTAGCTGGCAGAAACAATAGTTATTTTACGGATAATGCCTCCAATCTCGGTAACGGAAAAGACCTGAGCAGAGATATTTTCGAATTAGTCATGTCCTTATGTTTATAAGTAACTTGCAAAAAAGATTTTTCTTCAACTCGTCTGCAAAACACATATATTCAAAATATATTCAAATTTTTTCTTATATATAGCATGATAGAAGAAAGTGTGCTCTTCAAAATGAGATGTTTTTCAGAAATTTCTGATGAGTTTTCTTAGAGATATAAGCATAGCCGCAAAAAATTGCAAGTTATTGCCATTTGAATAGCGGCATATATACTTTGAATAATGGCCTATCCATCCGTAAAAGATTTTTGTTTTTGTTTTTTTTCGTGTTTTAACTGAAGTTACAATATGTCGAATCATTCGGGTTAGATTAGATAGATAGATAACTGAAGAATCAACGCCACCATCACACTGATCTAGCCTGAGATCCGTTTTCTCTTCAAGATTTTTCAAAAACGTGTCTCTTACTTTTTTAGTCGATTCTGATTCTGTTCTCCTCTTACCAACCATTTCAGTATATTGGCTTTTAGTCGATATATAATATTGAGAAACCAGGAGGTTCTATTGATTCATTGATACGTGAGTGTAAGAGAATGGTGATTAGACTGTGAGATACACAGTGGGCAATTTTGCCTAGGCATGTGGACATTGGATTTTAAAGCGCTGGAAAGATCTCTCAGATATGTTTTTGTAGGTTTTCGAGTGTGCTCTTTCTAATGGAGTCACTGACAAAGTTCAAA